GTAGCCAACAATATCACGTTATGTAGTTAATTTTTTAAATGCAAGGCAATGATCAGATTCTTCATTTCTATCTCTTTATTATGTTATCGAAAACGATTATTTGTTTCTTGATACTGTAGTATGGGAAAAAAAAGGAATTAGGGTAACATTATGTGGTATATTAGTTTTCGTAATGAAAATTGAATTGATTTTCAAGATGAGGGCATGAAAGACATGATTTCTTATTAAGTTTCCTTCTTGCCAACTTTCAATTTCATCCGTCATTGTTTCTATCTTTTTAGACAGCCTTTGAGAACGATGCTGGATTATTCTAATTGAACGATAGAAGACTTTGAATGATGTAGTCGAACTGGGAATATCAAGATAGGGTTGTACATTAATATAAGCATTTTTATTTTTTTGAATCTCTCTGGTTCGATCTTGTACTACGAGCGCCAAATTTCATTACAGCTACCGTTTGAAAACGCAAGAAAGTTTGCCTGAGTGTTACTTGTAGACAGTAGGCACATATTGATCTACAGTAACAAGGAGATTAAGTATACAAAAATCGCTGAGTAAAGTGACATGCAGATCATTCGCATAGAAGTTGTTTTGTTCAAGCTTATACACCCATAACAGAAGTTCATTTCGTTGCACACGTAATCATGTATATTCCTGGCCTTGTAGGCGCAAAAGGCTGATTACTGTTTATTATTATTATAATTGTCAATTAAATCCCTAATTATATCCAAATTTTTGGGTTAAAAAAATGATCCGACATTAGACCCCAATCACAGTACTCTAAATTGATGCTAATAAAGAATTGTTATGGATTGATTATCATAAATTTCCATGAATGCTGTTGGTTCGATCAAGGATTGTTTTCCCAGTTTTAAATCTTTAATATATTGTGCATACTTTGATAATCGTGACCTGTCCATGGGTCGCTTCGTTTATTTTTGGTAGGTTTGAATAAACATAATATAGGTAATTTAGGGATGGTCTATTTCATCATTAGAAAATGAAGTTTTAATCTGATTCATCATCACCATTTAGATGTATCTATTAAATTATCAGTATTCAATTCATGACTTGAGTAATGTGATATCGTAGGCTAAGGGATTAGAAAGAGAGCTGAAATGTGTCGATTATTTAGTCGGTAGAATTTAATTTTAATCTAAATATATGAACTTGATAGAGTATCTATGATTCTACTACATCTCTCCAAGGTAAGCACGTACGACTTGCACAGCATCACTGAGTCATCTTCTCATAACAAAAAACTTGTTACCATCAACTTGTATTTATAGTGGTACCCGAATTCAAGATCAGCTATCATGTTGGTCATTATATGATTGAAAATGTTCATTGTAATGATGATGTTGTACTATTTGTTTCTATTCGGGATTTTTATAAGTCATTTTAAGGAGAAACCTTCAAGTCGTATTCTGATGAAAGGTATGTTTATTTGGATGACGCATTCCCCCTGCATTACGGCTTGTATCAAGATGGCTCAAATTGTACATTATCCATGTGTTATAACTGCTAATTGATTGATTTAGGAGTTGTGGATGTTGGTTTAAATGACCAACAAAAGTGTGTTGGTTTATCAGTAACCGATGTGTAGAGTAGTTAGCGTTTTCAATCTACATCCATTCTTTTTCTTACCCAATGTACTTTGTATTTTATAGTGACAGAATATTGTTATGGCATTGTCTACTGTCGTATATTGAACATTGTACAATAAAGAGTAGAGTAAAAAAACAGTAGTAGTCAATGTATCAGGACAGTGGAACACACCATTGGAGCGAAGTAAGCGCCATGGATTGATTATTTACAGCGCTAGAAGTAAAAGAGATTGATTGCGATCATTCATGAATCCATTTCTTTTACTTTGATATCTTGATCTTTGGGGGGGGGGGGCATCAGAGCTGATGGGAACAGGGTAATGGATAGGGTTATCTGGAGCAGACTTGGGGCCCAATGGATTGATTTTCCGATCCGGAGCAAATTTAGGGCCCAATGGATTGATTTTCCGATATGATGGATGGTATTAACATTGCTAACCAAGTATTTTATGCGTTTGGTTGCGACTAGTACCGAGAATGGGCTTTCAATGGATGACGTTCAATCAGTCGATTATTCTGGTTGTTGATTTTCTTGACACCCAGTATATCGGCGAAATGATCGACGGGTAATCTTCCTCTCCCTTCCATTATTATGATTCTAATTCTTTCCGCTGTTTTTCTTCTTTCTATTGACGATGCCATCATGAATCCATCATGCAAATAATTAGGCAATTTGTTGTCAATAATTGACGTCGGCGGCCGGTACCTGTCCACTCCATCGCCGTTGTCTTGGTGCGATCAAGTGGGACAGTAGACTGTGCTATACTCTACTGTAAGATAGTTGGTACAGTACTGTACCAAGTCGGATACGATCGTTGTGTACTATACTGGATGGCATGAGTCATCACTGTTGTTGTGGCCAGTAGCAGGACGATACCAGTCGAGAAAAGGTCTTGAAAACTAAATTGCTACCAGAATTGGGTCAACAAAATCGTCAGTAAATTGAATCATTTTTCCTCCATTGGCTTCATTGGATACTGCCAAATTAGAATCGCGTAAGCCTGCCTGCAAAAGGTAAATGATGATTCTACAGTGCGTCTTGTTTCTTGAGGCATGCTTACTACTTACTACATGAACCAGGAAAACCATATTTAGAGGGTCAGATGCGACGAGTTGTTGAAGGAGAAAAGGCATTGAGAATCAAATGTTTGAAAATTGCTTATTCTTGTTGATATAAGCGTACTGTATCTGTTTGACATGAAGTACAAGAGGCGAGACGAGTTGTTGAAGGAGAAAAGGCATTGAGGATCAAATGTTTGAAATTTGCTTATTCTTGTTGATATACGCGTACTGTATCTGTTTGACATGAAGTACAAGAGGCGAGACGAGTTGTTGAAGGAGAAAAGGCATTGAGGATCAAATGTTTGAAATTTGCTTATTCTTGTTGATATACGCGTACTGTATCTGTTTGACATGAAGTACAAGAGGCGAGACGAGTTGTTGAAGGAGAAAAGGCATTGAGGATCAAATGTTTGAAATTTGCTTATTCTTGTTGATATACGCGTACTGTATCTGTTTGACATGGAGTACAAGAAGCTTGCCATGGAAGGAGTAAAGTCAGCTACAAAGTGTTTCTTCCTCTATCTAATTGCATTCGCTAGACTTGGTGGATAGCCTTGTAAGAGTGCACAATAGCCCTCACCATTTTACATCCATGACTTGAAGAAGAGTGAGAGAAAAAACCCCACACACAAAGACGACCAATGCTGCAATCAACAATACAGCAGCCAAGGCATAATAACAACAAAAAGATAACTTGTCGCCGATAGTCATCGCCTTACATTTGCCTCTTCAATATGGACTATATGATCTGGAAAATAGCATTGGTGCATTGAATGAATACTTGGTGCTCTAATTCACTCCATTTACCGCATAGTATGGATGCTACTTTACACATTCAATGCATGAATATTGTTCTGACTACCCATGACATGCAAACAAGGACACGTTGATGATAGAGAGATTTATTGTACCACAAGTAAAACACAAATAGTTCATCTTTAATGATATATTTCTTGATGTGCACTGTACAGTACAGTATAATATAGAAACTACGCCCCATGTCAACAAGGATCGCCGCGATTCGCTGCTACTTGTTCAAATTAGCGTTAATGAACTACAACTGTGATCGTTGCCAGTACTTCATTGAATTTCGCCCAATAGATTGGTTGTTCTCATTAGGTAGGCATCGCCTTACCTTTACCCCGACAACAACAATTACAACATGTTTTTCTATGCAAAACTCCTCAAACTCTTTAATCTTGCCCTTGAAGGAAATATCACTTTCTACAGTTAGATTAATGCGATAGTGCAAAGGAGACGAGACGACTTGCCAAAAATTCCATACTGTGGACTACAACACTTTAGAAAGTGCAATAGCACATTTGGTGCGTTGACAAGAATTTCTTCGTCAGTTCTTCATCTACCGGATACTGCACCAGACAGCAAAGAATCTTGTTTGTTTATCTTGAATGGACTGGACTGTTTGTAGAATGAACATTGAACTCAGTATACGTAATAGAATAAAATGATCGTTTACATCTTTTCAACTAAGCAGCCTAATACTGTATTCGCTATACAGTATTCATGAAATGGGTAGTAACTGTTCTGATCAATTAAATTGCCCTATATGCTGTTTTATTTCCTAGTTAGAATACTTGACTAACAACGAGTAATTTTACATTTTTGACAACCAGCAATATTGCATTTTTACATTTGCACGATGTATTAAAATCGTGTTATTGGATCGCAAGTATAGTCTACTGTAAAGTTCAAAAATAAAAAAATTGGGCCTTTTATCTCCAATACAGTATATAATATAGACTACGTATTGTACTACAGTATACTCTGTGGGAAACATTTCCAGAAGGAGAGCTATAAAGCTCCTATATATTGCATTGTTAACGCAGTAATAATTAATAGTTACAATTACTTTGCCTTTAGCAGCAAACGATTAAGGTGTGATGCGATTGATTAACTTTAGGGTGAAAAGATGTAATACGTAATCAATAGCACCTTTATACACATAGCTTGTGAAAGATGATCTATTTCAACTAGCTAGCAATCAATAATAAAAATAGTTGCGTTGGAACCAATTCTACAGTGTTAGGTTAACAATTATTTCAACGGAAGAATCTCTCCCTGAATTTTGTTAGTATTAATGACAGCATCACATTGAAATGTCTAACTAACGATACTGAATTTTGAATAGTGAAGCACTCAAAGTGCACAGCTAAATCATCCTAATGTCGCATTCTATCAGGCTAGTGTAAATTCTTTCCCGCAGTAGAAGACACATTTCCACGATCATTAGCTAGGCCATGATATCATGTCATGTCCAAACGTAAATTGAATTTTCACTAATCGAACTGTTGCTGTAATAATTTATAGGAAATGGTGAACCGATTCATCCTTTCCGCGTTCTTCTTACTCATATTGGGAGTTGCCTCAGTGTCGGCGATCGACAAATATGACAAGTAAGTTGACTTTCAGAAGATAGCTTGTGGTATATATGAATTCCATTGAATTGGTAATAGTGGTGTTAGTTAAAAACTACCTAGAATTTTCTTAGCATTTTACGGTATTATTATCTATGCCAGAGCATATCAGCAATATAACACACACTTTTCAATACACAATTCGATAGCAGTTAGAATAATAATTTATATTGTAACTCTTAATTTGATTCATGCAGTAACTGTTCATTGACGATACTTTTTGGACGTTATACTGTACAGTATATCATGCTCTTTCCAACGCGGGGGCTATTTAGTTTAGAAAATGCTTCTTTTAGGAGTTACGATCTCTTACTAACCAGTTACCTACTTGTATAATAGTGGCACCTATATTATCACTGCTCCAGCCATAATACGCCCTGGTCTTCCGACCATGATCAACGTAAACATTCTGAGAGCACCTCAAGCTG